ATTCTAGGATGTGCTGTATCATCACCAATGATCCCGTTCTTCCCACACCAGCAGAACAATGTACTACGATGGGAGTTCTGAATGAGAAGAGATGAAGGAAAATGACTCCCGAACCAAAAGAGCTTTATTGGTTTGATGAACTTACTGCGTACTCTTTATAATATTGAGCACTTGAATAATAGCTGTATCTGCGGGTGGCACCCCACGATCTGGCCAGTCAACCCAATGTAGATGCTTTGTTTTTATTCTCTGGAAAACAAGAAGAAACTCCAGAGAAATTTGCAACAGAGAATTGAAGACAATAGGCTAACAAACTGGAAAAAAACGTTTTACTTTGTTTGGATATGAAGGTATTCATTAAGAACAATGTTTCAGTTCACTACACTGATAATCTCATATTATCACTTGGGTATCTCGCGGACGTTATATAAGTATTTCCCTAACGACAAAGACTTAAAGAATTTCTTATAGAATTTACCTACTATAAGAAATTCCTTAAGTCGATTATACAACAATATTCTATTCAACGAATTCTCGAATATTCGACAATTCGTTTAATAATCGAATTTTCGTTCAAATTGTTCATGTGGTCGAGTAATACGTTTCAGTCCAACGTATAGTACTTACACATTTGAAGTTAACAGGAATTTTTCAGTGATGAATATCAAGGAATGGCGAAATAAAAGTTTATTTGTTGTTGATCTAAGGAAAGGGGGAATTATTTTTGAAGAAGAGGTGAAAATAGAGGATCAGGTAGAAATTTTTTCTGTTCTCCTTAAATGGTAATCAGGAAATTTTTAGGACAAATTTCGACGGAAAATCTCATTGACAAGGGAATGCGCAACTTTCGCTGCAATTTACTTCGTGTATCGACGACAGTGTTTGGTAAATTTGATTTCCGCTAGTTTTCTTATGAATCTGATTATCTAAAGCTTCACGGTTTGAAGGGTACAGAAGTCAAATGGCCTTCATGTCTAGTCATCTCTACGCAGCAATGTATTTTAAAATATTACTACCACTTCCTACCTTCCTATATTGCTAAACTACGGGCGGGATGCTTCGTATGAATGAAATTTACGTAATTCACTCAAGCATTAATAACAGCATACCGTAGACATTAACCTTTTCCGAAGCAAAATTATAGGACTTTGAAACATATCGGCAAGAAATTCTCTTCAGCTTAAAGCCTAAATACTTCATTACAATTACAATGACTCACCTTTCCATTTTGTTCCACGATGAGTGCTGTCAACTTAACTTGTGCGTTTGTATTGCATAGAAATCTCACCTGTAACACGAAAAGTTTCTATTAGTAACTCAATACTCCACACTTTTTCTAGCGTTTTTTCTTCGCACTTTGACGACTTTGTTGACGAAATACTGTACATGGTTTTAGTGACGTTTTTGATTACAAAACCGCGTTCGCCGTGTCCCTTTTTTAAGAATTTTGTTTTATGTTAAGCAAAGTAACGAAATCTCACGTCGACAAAGCGTTTTCAAAGCTCAAAATTTTCTTGAATTATCGCGACTTCTGTGAATTCATTTGAAAGGCAGCTTTATCCATAATAGTGAGTCAATTTAAATAAAGTTCTTGTCATTGCTCAGATGTCAATACTATTGCTCCATAGTAGCGAGACCGCCACACGAGGAAGCCGTTCAGCAAGTTCATGAGAAAAAGTTTAGAAGACTACACCTTATTTTTGACCGCAAATTAATCAAAAAGGTGATGATCGCAGAAACTGCAAAAGGTTGTCCAATCCCATAGTTTAGTTAAAGCTAGGATGCGTGATTCTTGAAGGCCAGGAGGTGAACCTTGAACAGACTATGACCCGTACTACAGAACATGACATCTTCTCTAAACCAAAATATGAGACCTTTCGTAGAAATTTTCAGCTAATTTCAGCAAACACAGCTAGTTGTTTAAAAAACTGTTTCCCATCGCTCTGATATTCCGTTTCTCAGTTCAAGGGTAGAACAAGATTAGAAGTCCTAGAGAGGCGGGCAGAATGTTGTGGAAAAGAAAAAGAGATCTTTAACATGCTTTATACAGTTCTGGTCAAAAACTCAAGAAGGGCGTAAATTAGGCGTCAGAAGAAAATCACGTTTAATTCTAATTTTCCAACCGCCAGATGGATCAAATCAGATGTGTGGTGCATCCACATTTAGGATTGATTAATCTCTAACTATGGACGCGCCACATCTTTGTTTCATCTGCCATGGTTGATGGTGAATTATGAATGGTGTTGAGCCCATAAAGATTTTCTCAGGGTAACCTATGTCTTAGTCAGTTCTATCACTAGAGAGTTCTGGCAATTTTTGACCCTCAAATGGAAAGCTTGGTTGTCTAAAAATTGTGTGGTAGATCATATTTGGGTTTTTCGGTTATTTCGAAATTTTCAACGTTTTTTTTAAAAGCTATGTTTAGTGGAAATCTGCAACACAGCTACAAACTTCATATTTGTACTATAAATTCCAACATCTGGGAATTTGTATAGCAGGCAGCTCACTAGCAGCACACTTACCATAGTGGAACCCATGTATGTTACCGTGATGTCATCAAATTGAAGTGATCCTTGATTTGGAAAATATGGGAAACATTTCCTGGCTCCCTAAAGTTCAATTTACAAAAATATGAGAACTTCAATACAACAAATTCAGTACATAGAACCAAATACCTTTTCGAAAAAATTACATAGCATAACGATGAACTCTACTCGATCTTGTATACACATAACCCAGAAGTCCCTGCACGTCTTTTCCATAGGGGCCTCAAGAAAACATATTTTGCTTGCTTGAGCTTCTATCATTCATCTACTTCTACCTGAGTACAAATAAATCTTCTTGAGCATGTAGGCGTTGAGACATAATTGGCGTGAACATAATCTTCATCTTCAGGACAATTTAACAGTCTTACCCTTGTTGCATCCAAACAACCAACATCCTTAAGGAAATCACAAACTGCAGTTTTGACAAGCTCATTTTCTCATCAAACATAGAAAAAAAACTGTATGCATTGATAAATATGCATTTGTAATGAAGCAGAACCTAGCGCGTTGTTGAAACGATAAAGATAGTGCCACAAATCGCGCCATGTTTTTAACTTGAAAGCGTTGAATATGTTAGGAGGTCAAGATTTTCAAAAGTTATAATTCTCAAAAAGCCCCTGGAAAAGTCTCCGCGATGCTGTAGGAGTTTGTAAGATTTACGAAATTAAGGATGCATAAGGAACGTAACAGGTTACGAATATGAGATAAAATCCACAGCCGCCAACCTTATTGAACAGCTCAAAGAAGGCTCTAATAAGATATGATAATATTCAACTTAAACCGCGAGCTCAGCACGGGTTCAATGATAAAGCATAAGATGTAAGAGCGAAAGATCTACTCACAACCAACTCAAAGCAACCTATACAAAATTTTCACCATTAGTCCTCAAAAGGAGAGGTCTACGGTCATCTGGCATACCTATAGGTGGTCTTATCAATCGTTTATACCATTCTCCTGATTAACTGATTTGTATCAAAGGACGTATGGTGAAGGCTGCCTGTTTAGCATTGATTAAAAGGAAAGATCGTAGAAACAATGTTATCTAAGTTGTTGGATTATCCTTTACAAAACTGGTTATAATCATTCCTTTGGGGATTAGTACTACTTCGAGCTGCATTGGCAGACGTTTAAAGCCATGAAATCTCAAGTAACATTGAAGGTGGGAAAACCGATATTTACGAGGGAGGGATAATTAGTGACCGTGGCGTTCTAAAGCGAGTATACCATTAGACGCGCCTCAACTCGTTGATTTCAAATATGCCCCCATATGCCACGATCTTTAAGGAGATTATGTCAGTTTCTCTTCGGGAGAAACATGCAAAGGCCGTCCTTAGTTGCTCCAAATCGTAATCACCCAAATGGTAAAGCAAAAGCTCATTTCTACTGGTAAGGCTTACTTTAGTCACTAACTGAGCTTTTATACCGCTTATTTAGGGATTGTTAGAAAGAATTTAGAGTATTCGAGCAATAATTTATTGCAATGATACATAAAGCGTGGAAAGAACTTGTCATAACTATCTATAAAGAATCATTTCGCGGAACTATAAGGCAAATTTGAAATCAGCGTTTGAGTCTGGTAGTTTGCCTTTTTCTTAAGAGCCCGCAGTCACTAAGTATCTTTCCTTTGCTGGCTCTGCAGGGGATAACCTGAAGGTTACAGAGCATTCTGGGATTTAAGGATGGAATTTGCACTAATTAAGCACCCTGTTTTAAACTTCTCCAATCTTCCATTACAAAAGTCAGTAAGCTTTGTTCACGAAAGTTGGGCATAAGCATATGAATGTCTATCAGAGCTTATTCATAAAGATGCCTGAGCTTACTTCCTAATAGTCTGTTATTATTGAGTTATCTTCGAGTTACTGAACGCGCTATAATGATTCGCTAACACTAGGACGATCTGCGAAATAATGTAAAAAATACAACAGAGGGTTCTACGCAAAGGCAATTGAATAGATATGAACATTTTGAGCAATCTAAAAAAGTTTGTCACTTATAGAAATTGTTAAGCGCAACAAATTAGGCGAACGTTGAAAGGCTGGCACTTCACTGCACCTGGTTCAGCAAAAAAACCTGAGCTACTACGCCCGAAAACCAAATCACATGCTCAACCATCTTTTCACATCTCTTGTCTCCACATTATGCTCATAAAATAATGAAATTGTTCTATGAGCATTCAGTGCAATGCAGATCAGGCAATCAATAACACTTACAGCTATTCAACAGCAAATATGCACAATTTTGTTAAAGAGCTGTTACTATTTTGAAGACATAAGTGTCATAATTTAGAAAGAGCGCGAATAAAATAAACTTAGAATGGGTGGAGGACTATTTACCACCATTAGGCTCCGCGGACAACTGTTCCACTTTCATTTTTCTTGCGAAATAGGAAACGCCGGTATCTTAGTAGGAACTCCTAATGGGTGTATCAGCACATCCTGAAATTCTGCAGACTAATCAAAGTGCTCCACTACTGTCAACATTTAAAATGACAATCTTGAAAAGGATCAGTAGTCCTCGAGGGCGGAGCCTAATGGCAGTAAATAGTCCTCCACCACTGAGGATCAGTCTATGTGCGTCATGTCATTGCGTTTGCGAATTCAGAAAAAATGTGATGTTTTCCAGTTAAAAGACTGCCTTATTGAATAAA